TGTCGTTGTTGTTGTTGTTGTTGTTGTTGTTGTTGTTGTTGATGATGTTGTCGTTTTTGTTGTCGTTGTTGTTGTTGTTGTTGTTGTTGTTGTTGTCGTTGCTGTTGCTGTTGCTGTTGTTGGGGTCACACCACCCTGTGGTAAAAGCTGATTGAAAAGGTATAGAGGGTTTGTTAAGGGTTATTTAAAAGTGTCTTTTCTTCGGAAAAAGGGGGCTAAACTTCTCTCTCTCTCTCTCTCTCTCTCTCTCTCTCTCTCTCTCTCTCTCTCTCTCTTTCTCTCTCTCTCTCTCTCTCTCCCCTCTCCCCCCTCTCCCTCACCCCTCTCCACCCTCCCCGCCCCCTCACCCACATTGTACTCACGCGTAGCGGCCTATCGCACGTGCCTAACCGACACACCCCTGATACCTGATACCCTGAGACCTGATACCCTGATACTCATCTGGCGGCCATAGATATACCTTACTCACAAAGGCCAACAGAAGAGTACGTTCTTTTTCCATGTGTCAAACTGCACTCCTTTTTTGTATGTTATTTCAACATCTAGTAACACCTCTAATCTTCGGCACGTACATGACCTTACTAAAACTAAAAACAAAACCGCACACTCAACGGCTTTCCAGTTTGAGTTTGAGTGACATGAAAGCGTGAATTCAGGCTAGGTTATGGGATTGGGGAAGTTAGGAGGTTTTTGGGACGGTTAGGGGGGGGGGGGGGGAGGCGAAGAGGTAAAACAGACGACAGAGAAGAAAAAAAAGGAGGGAAAGAACAGATTGAAGTAGGACATACATACCAGAACCCCACTTCTTCCCCCCCCCCTCCCCCCATCTCACGACCTCCCACTAAACCGCCGCCCCCATAGCCCTTTATAATTGTTGATATTATTTGTACGTGCGGGCGATTAACTGTAAGTACGGGCGATTAGTCACGTTGTAGTTGAAGGTACGGGCGATTAGAATCGCTGGCTGGTTTTACAGAACGATTTGCCATACTACCCCCCCCCCCCACCCCCCAGGTTAAAAATAACTAACTCGGCAGCATTAGGTGTTTAGTTTTAGAAAGAGTTTTACAGCACTTGCAACACAATAAAGTCATATGAGTGCCAGAAGATTAGAGGTGTTACAAGAGAGTAACAAACATAAAAAAGAAGGAGGAGAGATCAGGACGATAGATGTTTGATAGGAAAGAAGGAGCAAACCACTTCAGAGCACCCGCCAACCACCCACGCATTGGGTGCGTCGGTGGCCTAGTGGTTACCCTCTCAGACTCAAAACCGTAAGGTTGTGGGTTCGAATCCCTTCAGGGGCCCAACGTTGTGTCCTTGGAAAAGACACTTTACACAAATGTTCCTCATTTCACCCAGGTGGGAATGGGTACCCGGCTATAGACAGTGAAAGATCTTGTCAGTTTGCTAGTGTTTGAGCGCTTAATCAGCTGCTTGCACTGTTTGCTTTCGGGGAAGCTGAGAATGTTTCTGAGCGTTCTATGGTCTGCTGTGGTAATAATATAGTGTAAAGCGTGTAGAGCTTGCTGTCGAGTGGGGTTATGCGGTATACAAATTGCTATTTATTAATATCATTATTTATAATTATTTACTCGTTTCACAAATCGGCCACTTAGACACACCCAAATCC